AGTGAGGAAAACAACATTTATATCAGTCTTAGTTCAATACCTCCTCTTTTCTTGGTATTGTTTCCCTTTGTTTATTTACTTTAGTTCACAAGGTCCTCTGTAAAGTTGCCTCCCGGTCAAGGCAGTTCAGAACAGCATACCAGCACTGAAGTGAAGCGTGTACATGTCCTTGTACATGCACATGTATGTTCAGAGTGGTACGTGCGCCCTGCTTGTGTTTTGTCCTCCATGGTCTGCTCAAGTCATTGATTGGTTGTTCAAGTGCACATGTACTTGAAAGGCCACTTTTACATACTGTGTTAGTTTTGTTTTTTAGTCCTTTTAAATCTTTAGTCTTTTGATTTTAGTCCTTTCAAAGTTTTTTGTCCTGAAGTCCTTTTTTTCCTTTTTTTTTGCATTTTTTGTTCAGTTCTTCATTAATAAATTCTTTTGTGTCTTTTTTAAAAGTCAAATATTGGTGTCTGAGTCCTTATTAATTCAGTTTCCTGCGACGTTTCTCAAAGATCCTTGGTTTAGTTAGAGTTTTTGTTGTTTTGCGAGTTCCCCCAACGCCTTGGTCAAGGCTAGGGTGCCGAAGCTCACTGAGTGACAAAGTCAGGCTCTATCCAGCTCAGCAGTAACTGCCTGTGTGTTAATTCATGGAGTAATTGGACAAGGTTAATTGAAGTGACCGAGCGGCCATGGATATTCAATACTATGGCCTCTAACTCAGTTCAGTCATTTACGCCACGGACGTATATCAGAAAATCTGGACTAATGCCCTGGCTTAAGCAGCTTATAGGGATTATTGAACCATTAGCGGCATTTTCACCGAGCCAAATACAAGCTTGTCTGGCAATGCCCGCCTTTGTTCTCCCTGGCAAATAGAGAGCCTGAAAGTAAAAGGTCACGCAGCAAGCTTTCGGAACCCTCGCGCGGCCCTCCTATGATGGGGATTTTACATTGGGCCATCCTATAGGGTCCAGTCCACTAATTCAAGCCCCATTGAAAACATTCTAAAATCAGCACCGTTCAGGGCCCAAT